TGGCTCGATGGGCAAGCGACATAGCTTCACTACTGGTCTGGTTAACTCTGACCCATTTGCCAATTTTACCGTTGCTACCCGGACGACGTCGTCCCTACCATGATGAACCCTCACAACACGTGCTAACTTCCATCTTGTAGGTGCTAAGTTGTCCTCCTTGACAATTACCACATCATTTACGGCTAGTGCTCTCGTACCTGACGTCCACTTTTGGCGTATTTKTAGTTGTGGAATATACTCAGCGTACCACCTGTTCCAGAAGTTTTGAAGCAAGCCTTGAACTAGCTTCCATCTCTTCAACGCTGTAATCTCCCTCGCTTCAATCACTGGCTCTGGATGGAACATCAACGGGCCTCCTATTAAGAAATGCGCAGGAGTGATTGGTTCTAAGTCATTGGGGTCGCTGCTCATGGGCGTGAGGGGCCGACAATTCATGCATGCCTCTATYTGGCATAATAATGTTTGCAATTCACTTWAGGTTAAAGACATGCCCCTTACCACTCTCGTGAGGTGGAATTTGGCACTTTTCACTGCGCTTTCCCATACTCCGCCAAAATGCGGCGATGCCGGTGGATTAAACTTCCAAGTTATTGCTTCTGATGCTAGACAACCATCCACCTTACTAACATATACAGCCAGCTCTTTGCGTGCTCCAACAAAATTCGTTCCATTATCACTCCAGACGATGTTTGGCTTTCCTCTTCTGGATATAAATCTTYTAAACKCTGCTAAGAACRCGTTGGTAGTTAAATCCTCCACTGCCTCAATGTGGACTGCTCTCGTCGAGAAGCATACAAATATTGCGATCCATGCCTTTTTGCCCGGCCTTCCACGAATTCCACTTCTGATGATCAGTGGCCCGGCAAAGTCGACACCAGTAGCTGTGAATGGGCGAGAATGCTGAACGCGTTGCTTCGGAAGCGACCCCATTATTGGCTGGTCAAACGTGGGACTTGCTCTTTTGCATATRACGCAMTGTCGAACGACTGAGCGTGCAATGGCTCTGCCTCGTGTTGGCCAATATGTTCTTCTGACTTCTGCTAGGAGCGCCTGCGGACCACAATGCAGCATTTTATGATGGCAGTCCTTGTATATTAATCTTGTGATTACATGATCAGGTGGTAGAACTATTGGATTTTTTTGCTCCTTTGACACAGTTGCGTTTTGTAAGCGTCCACCTACTAATATCAGTCCGTTTTCAATAAACGGGCATAGCGATCTGAGTCTGCTTTTGGTCGGTATCTCCATACCATTCTTCAATGCTATCATCTCTTTTCCGAATACTTCAGCTTGTGCTTTTTTTATTAATACTTCCTTCGCTTCGTGTAGTTCTTGGACTGTCAGCTGATGACTTCCAGACCATTTTCTCTTAGATCGCAGATACTCCACAAACC